GAGAGAGAGAGAGAGAAGAAATTGTGTGTGTGTGTATGTGTTTTCCTTCTTCCCACACGGCTGAATCCCCTCTGGTGCTTTCGTATACATTGCGCAATGGCCACGAGGGCGAAATTCGGTTCATTTCGGTATAGAACTGAATTTATTCTTACTTCATTTACTGTTCGGTTACTTTTCGCTTCGTGGCCAGCGTTTGATAAGGTCCATAGATTCTCTGTCTATGCACCTGCCTGAGGTTTAAGGTCTGCTGGAAAGGCCCTCCTCTGTGTCCCATCAGTCAGAGACTGATATGTTGCACAAGGATCTGGGAGATAGCTTTCCCTGCTGTGGCAATCCATTTGTGGAACACCCTCCTCTTGTCGTTTAGATGACAAGTAAAAACATACTCCACCAAATGCATTTGAGGAAGTAGAGCTAAGTGTATGAAAGCTCATGCTGCCAACTTCTTTCTTCCAGTTAGTCTCAAAGGTACTACAAGATCTCTCTACAGATAAAAACATGGTTGTTCATGAAAGCTTTTGTGACACAAAAACCATCCCATGCACATGGCTTTAATTCATTTTAACCTACCTTTTAATTTGTTCATTTTCAATATGTGTTTTAGCCATCTAAAGTTCTTTTTTATTATTTATACTGTTAAATTTGTTAGATTTGTTTTATTGTATGCCCCCTGAGATCTTTGGATAAAGAGCAGGATATAAATATTTAAATACATAAAATGTCTGCTGGCTACTTTTATTAAGCAGCCTTAGAACTGGAGCTCCCTACTACTCAAAGGAATGTAAAAAGATGCCTTATACCGAGTTGAACTCTAGGTGGTCTATCTAGACCTGTTGTGTGCCTTCAAGTCATTTTTGAGTTATGGTGACCCTAAAGTGAACATATCATGGGGGCTTCTTGGCAAGATTTGTTCAGCTGTTGCCTTCCCCTGTGGCTGAGAAAGTGTGACTCACCCAGAGTCACCCAGTGGTTTCATGGCTGAGCTGAGAATTGAACCCTGGTCTCCTGAGTTACAGTCCAACATTCAAGCCACTACGCCACTCTGGTTCCCCTCTGGACTATGAGATTACAAGTCAACTAGCTTACCATTGTCAACATGTTTTCCTAATGCTCTCTAGTCATTCTTGTTGGTGCCCCATGCTGGTACTAACTAGGTCCAACCCTGAAAACCTTCAGGGGTAGCTGTGTTGGCCATTTAGCAAATTCAAACAAAAATCCATCAGTGATATCTTTATTGGCCAAACAAAATGCACAATATACTTGTTGCAAGCTTTTGAAGCTCCACGGGCTTCTTCATCAGGCAAGATGTTACAAACCAAACAGGAGAAAAACAACTGGAGATGTTAGTCAGATGCCTCCATATTGTTTCAGTCTTTAGTTAAGATGATATATGGGGGGAGGGGGGATATATTTTGCAGGCAGCTTCTCCTCTTCCTGGCCATGAGGCTTTAGGGAGATTCTCAAAACCCAACCCTGCTTAAGTTCTGAAATCAGATGAGACTGGGTGTTCAAAGTGGTATGGAAGGCCCTTGAACCTAGTTTCTCTGTTTGGTAAGTATGCCAAAATAAGCAAAAATGTGAATAAAACACAATGGAGAACAAAGGCCAAGATCCAGTGTAAGGCTGTGCTTTCTTCCGCATGTGTGTGAGGGCAGCCGAAATTTCCACAGTTGGTCAGTAGCAAGTGGGGAGAGACAAAAAGTTGCACCTGGGCAAGGGACATTGCATTCATGGGTATTAAATACTCCTTGCATAACACCATCAAAGTACAAATATTAGTGTAACTAGGGTTACATCAACTTATGTCACATAATTCTGGCTCCAGTTTGCAACTGTTAACACATGAGGAAGATGTAATTGAGCCCTTGGAACACACTGAGATTTACCTCTCCCTGGAAAGACTCAGAGAAGTGAATGGAGTAGCTCAAGCTGCATGATGATGCTGTTCTTCATTTATGTCCCACCTTTTCCCCAAAGACAGCTTGTTAACATGGAATATGGTGTTTTATTTTGATACTCAGATGTTGAAATTAACATGTTATTAGTGTGGGAGATTAACAAGAACATACAATGAAATTTTTAAATGACCTATAATGTCATTACTTCATTGGAGTGGCAATATGTTTACTCATTCCTTCTATAGCATTACTTGGGGTACTTATATGCAGAGCATTTTGCCCATCTGAGGCCATTTTTCTATTCTGGGGGACCCTTGATCCTCCTGACATTTTGGCTTACAACTCCCATAAGCTTCACACTACATGCCCATAGTGGGCAATTGAGAGTTTAAAGCACTGGGAGGGCCAAAGATTCCCTACCTTACTTAAATACACACTTCCAATCACATTGGCCACACTGAGGAAATTGAAATGTTATAATTAGGTATTAATGATGATAATTAAAGGTAATATCTTGGAAAGAGATGACTGAGGATCAGTCATGGGAAAAATCATCAATAGAAACTTATCGAGGCACATCATCATGTTATTCCTCTTTCTTACTTTCATATTGGACATGGGAGCAACAGTTCCATTTGATTCAATTATGGTAGGTATTCACAGTGGCCTGTCAAAAGCTCAGTCAGGGGGCGTTTTATTTAGATTTTTCATTAGATGACTAAAAGCTCCACATATATTTTCCATTGCTGTTTGATTTTTATATATAATGAGCTATGAAGCAGGGCTGGAGCATCCATAGCTCTACAAATGTTTCCAGACTTTAACTGCCACCAACCCTTGTCACTCTAGCCAATGGTGAGGCATGATGGGAGTTGTAGTTTATCTGCTTATGCCCACCATTAGTCTTCTAGGCCAGTGTTAAAGGTTACATATATTCACTTTGATGGGGGGGGCATGTTATAGGTGTGAGGATGACAAATGACATTTCAAAGGCAAGAATGCATGTTTGTTTCTTGTCTGCTTCTCTGTTTGTATGTTGTTTCTAATTTAAATGCCTTTCTGCAATATCTCTGCAATACCTCTGAATTAACTTGCTAAGCATCTTGGAAGGCTAAAGTCTTTCCAAGGCAACTAATATTATAAGGCATGTGATTCAATATCAAGGTAACAAATATTAAATCCTCATTTCATTAAATCCTCAATCAGCTTTAAACAATTTAGGAAGGACCCAGTTAAAAAACAAGACCAATCCAAGATTTCATCAGCAAAAGCAGTGATTATAATGTAATTAAAATTTAGTTAAAAGCCAGAGGAAAAGAAACAAGATGTTAAACAACTCCTTTTAAAACAACAGGGGCACATTTACACTGTAAAAATAATGTAGTTTGACACCACTTTAACTGCCATGGCTCCATCCTAGAGAATCCTGGGATTTGTAGTTTTGTAAGGCACCAACACTCTTTGCCAGAGATGGCTAAAGACCTTGCAAAATTACAAATCCCAGAATCCCATAGGACAGAGCTGCACCACTTAAAGTGGTGTCAAACTGCATTATTTCTACAGTGTGGATGGACAATGAAGGAGCCAAATGTATATCTCTCGGGAGAGAATTCCAACTACAGTAGACCTGTTCAATCACCTTTTGAATAATGAATCAGCATGTATATATATAACCTATTGATTCAATAGATCTACTCTAGTCAGGACCAACAACAGGATTTGTTGCAGAAAGATTGGTTCTGTGGGGTCTTCAAAATAGTATGTGAAGTCTTTGTAAGAACTTCATTATATACTGCAAGTTCCTTTGCTATTAAGGTGATTACCTATAGGCATGGGATTAAATCCAATGTGATGATAATAGTAACCTCAGAGGATTTGTTCCCTTTTCTCTGCAACTCTCTTCAGTACCAAACACCTTCTCTAGAGAGTTTCCCAGACCTTTTTGGAGCAGCAGAGATTGGAGTTTTTAAAGATGGACGTGGGCTGCACAAGCTGCTTCTGTAAGTTCAATGTTCACTTGGATATTGAGCAAAGAGGCTGACACATCATAGGACGTTATCACACGGGGTCTAAAGCAGACAGAATCCACACTAAATCCCGTCCTATTGCGCTTTATTTTTCCGTGTGTTCACACGACGTCACACAGAATCTCGTCACAACCCCGTCCCAATGCAGCATCATCCCCGTTCTTTTGAATGCCAGTTTCTTGGGGAATTGCAATTGCGCAATCGGAATGATAGCGCAATCATTGCGCTTTCGCCGTATGTCTGATCACCAAATACGTATGTGCAAGGACATCCTTGCTGGGTTCTGTATGGGATCTTCTCATTTGTGTGTGAACAGCAAATACGGTTCCCGGGGGCGCTTCATCGCGCTTTCATTAATTGCGCGATGATGCTAGTTGCGTCTGATAGCCATTTTCGTACTGTGGGGTTTCTACCGGTATAGTTCTGGATTGATTCTCATATCGCTTTCTTGCTGCTTTGAGCCCTGCATGTGATAAGGTCCATAGTGTGTTTAAGTTGCAGTCCTGTACCCACCAACCTAGATCCAGGAAGGATGATATATTTTTTAAATATTATCTTCATTAATTTTTTTTTACAAACAAGATTACAAACAAGCTCAGGAAGGATTATATTTTTAATGTAATTTTGTTGAAAACTGGATGTCTTGCCAAGCACTTGTGACTGTAGCGTTAATGTTACCATTAACATGTAAACCACTTCCTCACAAACAAGGGTCCCACAGGTATGTATACTCCACACACTTCCATGTCACCAACCTCTGAAGATGCAGACAAAACATCAGAAATAGATTCTTCCAGGATGCAGCCTCATAGCCTGAAAAACCCACAGAAAACTATGGATGCTGGCCATGAAAGCCTTCAACTTCATGCTGTTTTAAACTGTTTTTAATTTGTATTTTTTAAACACAGATTAAGGGCCTAAGCAGACTGCCAGAAATAGTGCACATTAAAT